ACGGTGGGGAAACAGTCCAGCATATTCTACTGCCAATACTGATCAGGGTTGGATGGTATCCCTAGAGAAAAAACGTGGTTTGTGGCATACACCGTCTAAATTTTAAAATTAATATTATCATATTATAAATTGTAATTTTAATAGTTTTTTTAGTACACCTGATACTCACTGTTATGTGAGGTGTGTATCTTATCTTTTATACTGTTCTGAAGAGATTTTTGCTTCTCAAATATCAGATATTATGATATGATAGTTCTGTTGCAAGCAACATTCCTGCACATGAGCAGAATGGTCATTCATCTAGAAACAGCTGCAAAATATCTATTTTCAAATAGCACAAACCAAACAGCCAATCAGCTTATCTGAATCAGCTGCTGAGCAGAAATTTATCTGGATCAACAGCTTATTAATAAGCTGCAGCTGCCACAAATAGACCCTTACCAATCAAGTTGAAACTTCAGTCTAAGACTCAAGCTAATTTTAAATGTTGGACTCCATATATGTAAATATGTCAATTTACTAACAGTTTTTCTCACACAACAAGCCATTAAAGTGGTGATAACATGAGGTCTCCCGTGCAATCAATCTGATGACAAAAGCTATCAAATATCATTGCTAAGACATTTTACTTCCTCTATTTCTCATAAATATGCAAATCTCCACCATCTACCTTTAATCTTCAATGATAATTATTTTTTGCCTTTGATTCAAACTACCATTTCTTTCATAAATCATCTATGTTTATTTTGTTTCATGCACAATCTCTAAGCAATTTGTCTTTGAGCAAGCAATAGAGCTATGTGTGTGTGTGGCGTCCTGTTTCAATTACCCGAGAAGAGGTAACAATGAGTCGGAAGAGGAAATAAAGAGTCGAACAGAGGGGAGGCGAAACGAAAGAAGTGAGAAGCCAAAGGGGTGACGTTCACTCAATAAATTGTCGTAGTCGACTTGCCTGTTATGTCAAGCAGGTTAGGGCAGCAATGCAATGCTTGCATGCAAAAAAAGGAAGCAAGAGGGAAGGGAAGCTCTATGCATTAGGGCACTCAATTATACCCTAGCTGACCTTTGTAGAAGAGAAGAGGAAGAAATAAGGAGAAGAGCGGCAGCGTGTGAGACTCGAGCATGGCGGAGGAGGCGACGTCAATGTCAAGTGGAGGAGGCTTCTGTGTCGAACAGAAGAGGAGTCGGTGTCGGTTTCAAACTACGATTGAAGGAGTTAAATAAGAAGACATTGTGGCTCTATAGAGAAGAAAATATTTGTGTACATAAGATGTACGCAGCGCTGCGTACAACAGGGGTTATTCAGGGCGTACAGGGGGATTATATCCGGGTTATACCCCCCTGTAACATCCGTGTAACTCCCTTGTAACCTCAGTGCAACTTATTTGTACCCATGAAACTACAGAAGTGCGGAACTCATTTGTAGGTTACAGGTAGTTTACAAAGAGGTTGCAGGGCAGTTACAGAGGGGTATAACCCCGATATAACCCCCCTATACCCCCTGAATAACTCATGGACGTACGCAGCGCTGTGTACATCTTATGTACGCAAATATTTTGCCTATAGAGGAGCTCTCATGTGATCTGGTTCTCGCGTGCAGAAGAAGACGATTCGAGTATCACACACAGAGAAGAAGATGGCTCGCATGCGGGTAAAGGGGGGTTCATTCAACTGAGATTAAGGGTAAGTTATTTATTTAAGTTATTAAATAAATTATATATATATATTATATTTAAACTTTAACATTTAAATGTTAGTTAAATGCATTGATTAAGGTGTTAAAGAAAGGTTGGGATTTTAATTTTAAATGTATTTTTTATATAAATTAATAATATTTAATATTATTTTTATTACAATAATCAAACTTAAAGTTTAAAGTATTGAAATGTTAATTAAAATATGCAATACAAACATAATCGATCATTAAATTAAAACATAAGTAAAGTGATAACTGAATATTTTAATTTTTCAATGTGATAATTTGATATAAATAATATAAATTAAGAGCAAGCAGGTCGTTTATCATCAAAGTGAATACTCATATTCTTTTATAATAGTAACATTTATTTTTTCACGACCAAATGTATTTATGCTTACTGTTATAGTACTGCATACCCATGATTTATGATTCTATTAAATTTTGTTCATATTGTCAGAATGACTTGTGTGCTCAACTTTGTTTAAATTATCGTAGAAATTAAATCTTGTACAATAATATGGACTAACACGCAAATGAGAATGAAATATTCATTAGTATATTTCATTAGTATAAAGTAATATTTTTATAATATGCTTGTATGTGCATGATAATGAGAGAACCCAAGTACACGTGCACGTATATAGAAAATGATATTGATATTGAAGTACCTTAATTGATATAAATTTTAAATGGTGCTCTTGCAAATATATTAATGAAAAATATAATCTGTTATTAATATAATAAGATTCATTGAAGAACATTATATCCTTAAGATATCAAATATTTATATTGATTTTTCAAATGCTTAACTGCATGCATATAATCATTAGTATTCACTGATTTCCCTTGTATTACTCTAATTTGGGAGCGTGAGTATTCAATCATTTTGGTTAACTCGAAATTATTTTAAACTAACTTTTTATGTCTAAATAATTTGTTAAAAGATGATTAAAAAGATAAAAATGTTTATGAAAGAAGTAGACAACCTGTAATAAAATAAATTTAATTATATTGTTTTAATTTATTTTATTTAACAGTTCTTTCATTTGTTAATAATTAGTTATAGAAAAAAAATAAATTTAATTCTCATCATCTGACTGTCTGTACATATCTTAGTTGATTCTAAGCCCCAACTAGGGTTGGGTTGTCACAAAAGTAATATCAGAGCAAATGTTAAAGATTAATTAATATAATCTTGATGAAAGAGCTAATAGGATAATTATAGGAAAATTTTAATAATAATAAAAAAATTTAAGTTAGTTCAAATTAATAATTATATTCATTTGAATACAGTGATAAACCCAAAATTATAAAAAGGAATCTGATAGAAAATGATGAAGTACAACCTACTATAAATGTGAACACAAATGTCTTGACATAGATAATGACGTTAATGACTCAGCTGATTCAAGAGCCCATATCGCAGAAAATCGAAAGCGATACAATCGCTATAGAAAAATAATTGAAAATATTTCAAGATTCACAATCACCATTGTTTAAGGGAGCTGAAGATTCAATTGAAGCAAAGAATTAGATGATGTGAATTGAGAAGATATTAAAAATTATGGTCTATCCGGGTGAAAGAAGTGTCATTAACTACGTTTATGTTGGATGAAAAAGCCAAAAGGTGGTGATGTGGGCAGCGTCAAGACAAGCTAGGAGGCATACCAAATATGATGGTCAGTTGAGAGAATTCATGGAGCTATTCAGAGAATGGTTTGTACCCCTATCCGCTAAAAGAAAGGTGCAAAACAGATTCATCAAGTTGGTGTCGGGAGTGAAGACAGTTGCGCAATGCGAAGAAGAATTCACTGTACTATCAAAGTATGCGCCACAATTAATCGCTACCAAAGAAGAAAAGTGTTATAAATTCCTTTCGGGAGTAAAAAATTCGATTAGAAAGTTGTTGGCGCCTTTGGGGATCGATGAATGTTCAATATTAGTGGAACGAGCTAGAAGAGTGAAAATCAATTATTAGCTTACTCAAAAGCGTAAGGAGGCGCATAAGATAAAGCATTGATAAAGGAGAACATGTTGACAAATCAAAAATATCCAATGGGAAAAAGTTTAAGTACAATTTGGGTGGATTTAGTATGACTCAGAGTACTGTATTCACATGTGACAAATACAGAAAACAAGATAAGAATAAATATTTGGCTCTAACACTTATAGTGTCTTCAGCCTGGTCATCTAGCAAGATATTGTCATCACTTGGGTAGAAGACCACTGAGGATCAGACATCAGGAGGAGCTCCTTCACATAAGACCAGGCTGACAACACCAGTAGAAGTGTTAGAGCCTATCAAATATTTATCCTTACGTTATCTTCCGCAATTAATTGCCAGTCATTACTTCTCCACTTCCTTTTTCTCTCTATTGCACTTCACATTATGTACTACCTCTTCTTATTGTTGTTACTACCTCAATTTACCAACCGTTCCCACAACCAAACTCACTACCTATATTTCTCACTTCAGACGACAGTGCATCTCCAGTTTTTAGAGTTGTTCACTTCCCATCACGGCATGCCCAGAAGCAAACAGAGAATTGGATTTTACAAATTAAAAGTTTAAGACTTTCTATGAATGATCTGATGATAATGCTGGAATTCATATTGAATGTATTAAAATCTACTGTATTTTATCACATGTTGATGAATTTAAGATGTTACTTATTTTGGGTATTTTGGGATTATAATTAGGATCCTGAGGCAAGTAAGAAAATTAGTTCATTAGCTTAATACAGTTCTTTCTTCTCTCAAAATTTTGTGAGTATGATGTAAGTGTATTCTTCATGTGGTGACAAGTCTTGATGATATTTTTTGAGAGACTAGTTTCCATATATCAGCTTGAAATTAGAATATTCTATAAGTGATTTATATATTTTGTTCTTATTTAATTTGTTTAGTGGATGAATGTTAATGCATATGAGAGTTTGTAAAGTCTCATATGTAATCAAATTTCATGTTCATAACGTAAGTTTCAATCATTCCAAGACTGCAAATATTACCACACCAAAATTATGTATCGAAGCACAGAATTTAGAATACCATTGTCTACTCATACGGAAAAATGCGGCCACTTACTTATTTTGCATCTAAAAAGAGATATCGATCAAAATAGAAGTTGGGGAACTATGAATTTGAATCTTTATATGCTTTTTTTTTTCCATTACATCCTATGTTTCATCACTTAATCCAGGACACTTGACTGTCCTATATCATCAAGTTTCGATTCACCTACATTAAAAAAAATAAACAAAAATGTTCTTCCAATGAGGTAAGGTCACCAAAGAAAATTTACCTCTTCATCAACTGGAACCAACTCTGAGATTGAGCAAGACCTTGATCTAGTAGGAGAATGTGCATCTTCAACGAGAAGCTGTGAATGATCATCAGACTCATCATACTACAGAAATCGTAAAAGGAATATATTAAGTAATAGTAGCTCTAATAGCATACAACTAATTCTGACGTTCACAGACTTCAGAATGCACCTTGTCGGATGATTTGACTCCCAGATCTGTCTCCTCTTCATCAGATTGAATACTTCGATTCCATGACTTCACTTGCTTAACTTGAATCAACTGGAGAATTAATAACAGGAAGACAAAAAAAATGCATTAAAAAAATTATTCATAGCTACGTAAACACCTGATAAAAATGAATCAAAAACAAACATAAGATGGCAATACTTTCAATATTTCTGGATCATTCCATGGTCCTTTATCTGATCTCAGACATCCTCCAATTTCACAAGTGCACGAACCACCAAGGAAATTAGGAAGTTGGCTATAGTGACATATAGTGTATGAAAGAACCCATGATTAGGGGCAAAAGGAAACTTCGTACTCCAAATGAAAATAAATTGAAGTTTGTATAATGAACAAAAATAAAACCTAATGTCAATCAACTCGCACAGTGTTTGTTGGTATGCATTTCCTAAAACCTGCAAACGATAAATTTAACAAGTTAACATTACCATGTACCTATAATTATTTTGAAATGGTGCAAAGATTGCAGAGATTATTCCCACCTCGATTTTTGCTGATGTCCTTGGATCAATAAAACCTTTTAAGGCATTCCATAGCAATCTAAAACCGTGGCCAGCATTAACAATGAACATCTTATTCAATATCTGCACAAAAGCACTAACATCAACATGGAAGCGAAGCAGTTTAGACAAGGATCTTCTTAGGCATACAGAAAACTTGTTACCTCAGGATAGTTATTGCTATCGATTTTATTGATCCGTATGACAATATCCTGAACTAAGTTAATCAATTTCCCAACATACATCCAGCTCTGCATTTCAATTTATCTACTCAATGATAAAATATAAGCATGGATGGAAGTTATATGAAGAATCATATCAAAATAACAAAATTAATTAAAGCACAACATACCAAACCTTCAACATCTAAAATTGTTGTCATAGTATCAATTTGTTTTCTTGCTGCAATTGAACATGCTGGCCATTTGTCCCGGTAGATCTTCTCTAAACTCTGGACATGATATTTTAATAACCTTTCTACCGTAGTGACCGTCAAAAGTTTACTAAGATCGACTTTTCCAAGTTTTTCAATGTATACTGGCCTGCCCTCTTTGTCCACACCATGAAAACCATGCGGATAGTAAGAGCGAACCTCTTCTAATTCAGTAAACACAAAGTCCTAAATTTACATTAAATAATTACTTCTTAATGCAAGCAATAAAACAGAAAAAAATACCCAACTAAAACGAAATCACTTATGCAGTTTTTGGTACAAATTTAACTTTTCGTTCAACCATTTCACTCCTACAAAGTCCATGAAAAGGTACAAGTCTTAAAGGAAGAAGTCTATAAGCACTAAAAGTTTAAATTATTACGCTATTCAATAGTCATACTTCATGATTCAATAATAAGCTCTCCCAAACTAATAGTAAATGTCCAATGAGTATAAAAGCAAAAAATAAATATAATGAAATCTAATTGTAACCAAAATATCATGGAACTATGAGTTTGTTTGGTTAAATGTTCTAGGAATAGCAAAATTTAAATGAATAATTCTCAATGTTTCAGACAGCATTGCCATCTAGCAACTCAGCTGTTCAGTTCAGTGCTATCTTACTGAAACAATATTATATTATATAGAAAAATTAGTGTTATTATAATCTCTCATTCATTTGGTTCAAGATAATCTAACATCTACATTCTAGCAAATTTAAGGTGTATCAAGATTGTATCACAAGAGAACTTAAACGTCACAAACGAGTAGAAATTTGCTAATACTATAATATAGCAACTTTTAATGAACCAAATGTAATAATCGGAAAAATAAAGTAAAATAAAAGGAAATTTAATGGGTTAGTTTCAATTTGAAGGAATTAACTGTTTCGACGTTTTCATTTTAAGGAGCAGAGTGTCTCACTAGAAGCAAAGAAATGAATCGGACGAGCGAACCAAAGGCGAAACTAAAAGAGAAGAACATGAAATAGCAGTCGTGCGTTTCTCTTACCAGATATTCGGTGCAGAGCAACGAGACTCAAAAATAGGAAGAATAAGAGGAAGAAGAGGAAGTGGTGATGGCAAAACGTTAGCCAAGGTTCGCGCGAGAGACAAAGCTATAAAGAAGGATTGAACGAGCTATTGACGATGTAAGTGCTAGTTTGTCTACTTCAAGGAAGCAGAGGCGGTGGTGTTAAGCTAAAGAAGTAGTTGTGCGCATCATGTGCGAAGGAAGAAGCAATAGAGTCGCATGTTGGAGTGTCGAATAGAGTCAAACAACAATGGAAAAAGGAAGTTGGGTATTAATTGAATGTACGAGAAGAGAAAGGCAGAAATGAGGGAGGGAGGAAGCTTTCCTTGCTACCAGCCCAAGATTTCAAATTTTGCTCCCTTGCATGAATTTAGGCTGAACAAGGGTTTAAGATACGCTTAGGTTATGTTTTCTTAATTTTATATATATATATATATATATATTTGGCAAAAGGTGGTAATATATTGATCAAAAGGTGTTATTTACAATTCTAATATGGGAACATCCAAACTGTCCCCACGCAAAAAAAAAAGTAGGGGGGGGGGCAAGAATTTTAATTTTTTTTTTTTTGCTCTAGAAAATTATATCCATCAACCACTGGTAAGTTGCACCAGCAATTTTAAGCTCGAATAGCATTACATTATAGCAAAACACACCTCCCCTGTGATGAACACAATCTTCTCAGTGCCATCCAAATGCATCTTTATCCGATGGTAACCTAAGAAAACATCAAGGAAACTCATGAAGGAGTGCCGAACCGTAGAGTCCACAAGTGCATTAATTCAAGGTAGAGGGTAGTTATCTTTCGAGTAGGTTACATTCAGTTTGGTGAAATCGACACACATTAGTCATTTTCTATTCTCTTCCAAATCACCACGACATCGTCTTCCAATCTAGGTAGTACAACTCTTTAATGCATCCTTCTTTCGGAAGCTTCTGAACTTCTTTGTTGATCAGCTTGGCTAGGGATAGAGCCTTTGATCTCATTTTTTGCTTTATAGGTCAAACTGAAGGGTCGACGTTGAGGCAATGGCAAGCCAAATCCATGAAAACTCATGGCATTTCTTCGACTGATCAGGCAAAGATGTCACAGTACTCCCCGGGGGTCCAAGCGAAATCCTCTTTATAATCGGCATCAAAAGCTACACTAAGTCAAAAAGAATTAAATTTATAATTGGGGTCGGCGGAGATTTCTAAGCCACTCCCTAGCTGTGTATCCAACTCCAACAGTTCGCGAAGTATGCTACTAACGACCAGCAGGTAGCAAGTGTGTGACTTCTCTAAGTCTCCCCATACCATGACTGTATCATGACGTGATATGTTGAGAATATTGCCTTCAAGTTGTTCCGTAAAGGCCAACTAATGATAGGAATGTATGTCACAGTTGACTCAACAACGATGAAATCAGCCAAGGCATTGAATTGTTTGTCACCCCTCCTTAGGTAATAGGAAGTGCAAGGAACTAGAGGGTCTCTTTCCTCTCCCTGGAGAAACCGTATACATTCTAAGATGGAAGAGGACTACATTGAACTCACCAAAACGCCTTCCGAAAAAACGGTTGTTACTCTAGCTTATAAAGCCTTTTTTGAACTTACGGGCAATGATTTTGCTTGCCTTAAGAAGCTCCAGCTTCATCTGCGGGCGCATTTCTTTTCATGAGGACTTCTCCATTATGTCATTCCCACCTGTATGTGGCTCGCTAGAAGGGGCTTAACCGAGTATACCAACTGACCATGAGGATGCTCGTAAGCTGAATACAAAAACCAATCTTTTTCTAATTGTTTCCTGTTTTGCAAGATTAAATCCATTATGGAGTCCTAGGTTATTACCATACCCAGTTTCAGCAATAAGGCATCCAAGAAGCTTGCAAGGTGTCGAAGGCTAACATAGCTCTGTCGTGTTGTTTTTGTTACATTGTGCATCACTGTTGGCAGGCCCACGATGCCAAAGTGCACAATAGACCTCAAGGCACACCTACCATTATCGCATCCATGATTCTCGAGGCACTCACAAAGACTCGCCTGCATCATTTCTAGGAGCAGTGGGAAGCTAGTCAAATTGCCAATTCGGTCCACTCTTTTGGCATCCTGCCAACGAAACCCTCCTACCTTCTAGGATCGTGGCCATGGGAGCCATTTTTCGGGACAAGCAAGGCTTAGTTATCATAGCAACCGATCAACAATTGCAACATTCGGATAGCACCCAAGTTGAGTTACAAGCCATCTGATCTCCCAACATGCTTGTCTACCTTGGATGTTTGAATGTAAGGGCCTCATTATTCAAGAAGACAACACTAATGTCAACAGGTTTTGGCCATCGACTTCAAGGAAGAAACTTTGGCAGAGCGAGCCGCAACATTATCATGAATTTTGTTTTCTTACATCCTTCAAGCAAGACAGTTTTTGTCACATTGCTAAAAATAGTAACAGGGCTGCTTTTCTTTTTTGTGTTGAGCATGTTTTTTGTGGTTCTTTTATTTTGATGTTAGATGATAATAAGGAACTCTCTACCATACTTGTAGATAGTATGTCTCTCTTTTGTACATCACAGATGCATACTTGTATAGTTGTTGTAATTTTTTTATTAATTAATACAAATATATAGTTTCACAAAGAAACCGTATAAGGGTCCGGGCGTAGTTGTGAGACAAGTGGTTCCAAAACTCATTTTATCAAATACTGATTTAAATAAGATGTTTACTGAGTGCCGATGTGAACAAGAATGCTCCCTATTTGAATGTTTCCAATGAAGGCCATAATGACATCATATAGTTATAGAGGTCGTCCTTAGTAGGCAAGTCTTCATCGGTAAACGTGTTACGTGAATGTTGTGCGACTGGTAATAAGGATAAGGTAGCCACATATATCTTGTCCAACCAGTCTTTTTAGACTTTTTTGTCGTGAGGCATCAACCTCATCTCCTCTCAGGATGGGTGGAACGACTCCTACGATGAGGATCGCATGAGCCAGAACCAGCCCACCTTGCCCATCTGTCGTCGGAGCCTTTCTTGGTTGTTGGTCGACTACACCGATTGCAATGAACTCCTTCAACTTTCAGGCTCGAATCAACTCATAAATTAGGGTCTGAAGGTGTCGAAATTTTTTTGAGTAGTGCCCGTAGTCACAATGGTAGGCAGAATATTTGTTTGGATTACGGGCATATCCCTCGGCCTTCAAAGGGGCAAGTTTTAGGTAGTTGTCCTTATTTTGGATGACCTCAACTTCCGCCATCCAAAGTCTTATCGAAGTCGAATAAGGGAAGCATGAGTCGGTGGCGGTGATCTTCCTAGTTAGTATTCCGCTCACTATTTTCGATACTGTGTCTTCCTCTGGTTTTGTCGTGATGCCTTTCCAGGGTGTATGTCTCCCGATAAGATTAGGGATGATCATCTTCGTTCTAAGGACATGTTGATAGTAGTGTTGGCCAATGGTTAACAAATTTTAGTGGCCTCTCCAGTGTCTTCGGTCATTGTAGTCCTAAAGCGTATCGAAAAGGACCTTATCTCAGCCGTTGAGCGAGGGTCGCATGTGCACAGTAGGCTCCAAATCTCGTACTTCCAATATTTCCCTCTGAAATTGGGTTATAAATGAGCGAAACGATTCTCCTTGCTCCTGCCACAACTTTAACAATGTCTAGAATATTTTGAGACTTTTGTGCACTAGCAAATTGTGTCATGAACATCTTTTTGAATTCTATAGGTGGCTGGCTATTGAACCTCACGAGCGCAAACTCCTTTAGAGTCATAAAAAGAGTCCACACTTTATTGCTTTGTTCACCCTTAATAAGCAAACCATCAACTCAAAGGAGGTGACATGACTGGTTGGATCAGTCTTCCCTCAGTAAGATTCTAGAGTTGGGATAATGAATCGTTCAGAAAGTTTAGCAATTGAGATTTGTCAAGAGAAAGCAATATCAGGGGCCGGTCATCGTGTGTTTATGCACCTTTGCCTGTCTCAGTTTTGAGGTGCAGATCCGGCACTGTTTGGATGATAAGTCTCATTGCTCACGCTTGGAATCAGAGCAGATGATCTTTCTTCATTTAGGCCAAATATCCAACGTGTGGAAACAACCGGCTAGGGTATCAAATTCGCTCCTTGCTAAAGCGTCTCATTGATCATCTCCCTCATCAAATCCTTAAGTTCCTAGATCTGTTTGATCATGAAATTTCTGGAAATCTCTAGTGCAATCAATGTTGTTTGCACTATCACGACTATTTTTTTCCTCTTGTGTTGTTCATCTTCTCATTTGTGTCATGATCCCACGCTCACCATATCTTTTAGGATGTTGAACACAGATTTATTCTTGAATCGTGCCCAAAATATAATATACATGCTAAAGAGTAGAAAATAAGGGCCCTTTTTTGAGAAAAAGCAAAATGAATATCAGAGAGTTGACAGACAAAGATTAATTAATTGAGGAATAAGAATTAGAGAATCTTCTCTTTTTTTTGCACAATGCTTCCTATGTATAGGAGTTGACCATCCCGAAAGGACACTTCATATCATTTAAATGAAAAATCCTACTGAGAGGTCTTGGGTGGGACACTATACAATTTCAACTCAAACACTCTCTTGTAGTAGTAACACTTGAGAAACAATGTCTTTGTGAAGCAATGGGTCCCTTTCTACCTCTGTCACGAGATTCTAGACACTTGAGCCATCCACCCCCACTTTGAGTTGCCCGATCATGATTCTTAGTCCTAACCGTGTTGATATCAGGTGCCACCCCCTGGCCGACTAATTCTTTTGACCTTTTGATCTATCAGCTAGTTTGGTAAGTACAACCTACATCAACCATCCATGCATAGGTCGTAATCGCTCGGATTTGTGGTTCGCTCGGTTATAGATCAGTCGCACTTAAGTGCCAGTGACCCACATTCTTCATTGGCTCCTTAATGCCTGTCAATCACCCTTTAGCGTCTCTTGCGGTGACCCCTGGGTCGCTCAAAGACGTCATCCCTGGGAAGCTAACTTTTTGTATGTGCAGTTAGGGATTAATAATACCAGTTAACAAATAAACCTAAACTAGCAACATATTGAATATATTGCTTTATTTCTACTGATAATCTTAAAAACCCAGTTTTTTTTTATTTTAGTATTCATTTATAAGTCATGCATTTACAACAAACCATGAGAATTATAAAGAGTGTATCAGAGGAATGAAAAGCTATACAGAATAAAAGGAAACTTGATAAGGGAGTTATCAAATATTACACGCAAGATAGAATCTGCACCAAAGTCTGCCCTCCACTGGAGCATTTCTGTCCACATATGGATTGTTTTTTCTAAATTAAAACCTCTAGCTTTCAAAAACCTGTAAAAAAAAAATACAAGTTCATTAAAAGAGTTCGATTTTGGAAAGCAAACTTTCAACAAGTAAGAAAAAGCTAGGCGACAGCAATGAGCCCCTGGCAAGATCAAGGCTGAACTTTATGGTTTTTCATAAAAATTAAGGAACCGGAATCCACTCCAAACCGCATATGTGCAAATAATTGGATAAACACAAAAAAGCATGTCAGGCTAGTGGCTTTTACAATAATTTTATATACCGTTCACTCGAGGAAACGGGCAACACGCAACAAAATACGCAAGTCAAAAGAAGATATTATGAATAGAGCAAAGTATTCAGGAGAACGAGAGAATAAATCGCAAAAATTACAACAACAACAACATGGCAAATTCAACAATATTGCGATTTCAAAGGCTAAGCCCCTAGATTCAGAAAAAGCATCAGTGAATATCCTCTAAATGCTCGAACCGTAATATAAATAGCAGCGGGAGTAAATGTGTAACCTCCTCATGGTGTAGTAATCATCATACTGCGGTGGAAGCAGATCTCTTTCCATCAGTGCCCGCCGAAACTCCCTAACCGATCTCTCCTCCTCCAAATCCCTCGACCTTCGATCCGCCAGCGACCGGAAATTATCCGGCCTTCGAACCCTCACCATTCGCTGCCTCATCGTCGACGAAGGTGCCGGCATGGTCAGCTACTCTGATCGATCCCGAGATGACCGATATGAGGATAGCCTGAAGCTTATAATCAAAACGGGAGATAAACGACAATGGTTTTAGCTATCAATCTGAGATTTCCAAGTGGCGTACGGAGAACTGATTCCTCCAATTTATGTACGTTTGTTCTTACAAATTCCGATCCCCTCGAAGGCCAAAAACGGCGAAAAATATTAGATGAGTAAAGTGATTAGTCAATGAAATCACTCCATCAATAATATTCTCTCCCAGATATGTTTTATATATTATTCATGTGTTATTGTGTCATGAGAATATTTCTGATATTATAATAACACAATAACACATCAATAATACATGAATAACACATCAATAACACACAATAACACATGAATTAACATATCTAATACACTTTACGGGGAAAAATATTCTTCCGTGTTACTGTGCAGTTTTTTCTCTGTCGAGAATATTTCCTGTGTTATTTAGGTGTTATTGTGTGTTATTCATGTGTTATTTTGTTCTGAGAATATTCTTGGTGTTATAATAACACAAAAATACGTCAATAACACATCAATAACACACAATAACACATGAATAACACATCAATAACGCGGGAGAGAATGTTCCCCGTGTTCGCGTGAGGTGTCGTGGCGTGATTTTATTGACTACGTCCGTTACTTCTACGTACATAGTACTACTGATATAATATTTTTTTCAAAAATAGAGGTGGGTTTAGACGGCGGGTAGCCTCTAAAGTGCATTCCCTTTAAAGAAAGCATCGACTTGATTCCAACGGAATTTCCAAGCTGAATTTGTCTCATCGCAGTTTACATTGCCCGTCGGTGGAGCATCCAAATAAAAAATTGCGCCGGGTTTGAAATGTGATTGGAAATGTTTATTAAATGCGAAAAAACAAGAAGTTGGACCTGTGAGGCTTCTAGAATCATTGAGAGCTTGAAAAAATAAGTCTTTATTTCGAAGAATTTAAGAGTTTACTTTATCAATTTTTAATTCGTATCTTTTTTAAAATGTAATACTTAATACTATATATTTATTTGATTTAAATTAACTCTTTCACCATCATAAACAGAATGAAAAACAATATATAGATAAATATAAGAGAAAAAAAGCTTACCAGTGAGAACGAATTGAGATTTTTTTTTTTTTTGAAATAATCTGAATCAAAAAATTTTAATATTATCTATTGATTTACATAAAAAATATATATTGTATATTTTTCTAATATTTATTTTTCTTTATACCACTAAGTGGGGTCGACTGCATGAATCTTTTTTCTCCATTGCATCCTATTGTCAAAACCTCTATTTTTTATAAATAATGTAAATTTTATTACAATTCTATAATGTAAATTTTGATAATATTTTCAAATTAATTAATTTAATTTCAAATGTGTGAAATATTTCATTTATTGTATATACCTTATATTTTAATAAAATTATCAATTTTAAAATTCTACTTAACTTAAATATTCGTTTGAACTAAAATATATGTTACAGTCGATGAGAGCAAATTTGATTGTTGATCATTATTTTCATATATGAGTAATCAATGTTTTATTTTCATATATGAGTAATCAATGTTGTATGACCAAGTTCAGCCAAACCTAGCCTGAATTAGAAGTGTACATCAAAAACATGATCAAATTCAAGCTTAATTGAAATATCACAAAATTATTCCAAATGATCAGATACATTATTCGAAGAATAATAAGCTACCACGAAGGATAAATATGTTACCTTAAAATGGATCTAATCACTCAAAGAGCCAAAATCTTCAAGATTTATTGATATATAGAACCAAGAGTTTTCCTCCACCTAATGGGTGTAATGTAGGATTTATTTGATTCCAGAGCCGATATCCTCACAATGGGAAGATCTTATAGTTAATTACATCTTAGGACTTGTGGTTCCCTAGAATATTCTTAATTAATGTATGGCATGCATTGTACCCAAATGTCAGTGACATTAGTGTTTAGGGCTCAGATTGATAAACTCTGGATTTTAGAAATAATTTGAGTGGATATACAAGATTGGTAAAGTTTGATTTGCATTGACTCACTTGAGCTAAATACTTGAATTAGTTTTAATTTTATTTGAAGGTTTGATTTAAATTGATTTGAGTTTGTATTTAAGAAATGTACATTGCTTGTTTGAAGTGCATTTAAAGTTTTTGAAGTTTATTTGAAGATACTTTTCTTAGTTTGAGAGTTTTTAAGTTTGTTTATTGTATGTTTGTTTGTTTTACTTGTTCAAAGTGTATTAGGTTATTTGAAATTTATTCTTATTATTCTTGAAAATTATTTGTTCTTTTTAAGGTTGTTTCAATTCATTTAGATGTTATTTAAGGTTGATTTGAGGTGCTTAAAGCTTATCTTCTAATTGTTTGATATGTGTTTTAAAGGTTATTGGGCTTGTTTAAAGTTTATTAAAAGTGGTTAAGGTTTTTTGAATTTTGTTAAAGTTGGTTGTTATTTGTTAAAGTTTGTTAAAGTTTATTACGGTTTTTTTAAGGTTAGTTAAATATTAAAGTTAATTAGAGCCTGGTCAAGGTTGATTAAAAATTGTTAAAGTTGATGAAGTTTGATTAAAATTTATTAAAAAAGGTTAAAAGTTGTTAAAATTTGGTTAAGATTTGTTAAAACTTTGTTAAAGTTAATTAGAGTTTGTTTAAGACTAATTTAAAATTTATTAAAGTTGATGTAGTTCATTTAAGGTTTATTAAAAATTATTAAGTTTGATGAAACTTGGTTAAGGTTTTTTAATTTTGGGTTTGAGGTTTAAATTTAGAAGCTTGAAGATTTGAGATCTTGAAATTGTAGGGTTGCATTTTGATGGTGACTGAGACTGCTACAGTGCCTAACACTTTGGTACACCCTAATTCTAAGTGCAGAGGTCTTTACATAAGTATACATATCGTTCAAGTAATATCGAATATTTTAGTTCAAAAAATCGATCCCACAGGGAGTGCCTTAATTAACATAAGAGAAGTTATAGCCTAATAAAATTGGTCTTAGCTTGAAAATAAAGTTCGGTTTAGGTTGTTCTAACTAGTCTTACTAAATTCTAGCAAACTACTATTGAAGGTTTACTCCTACAGAAATCCTACTAAATATTTTTGAATTTGGAAAAATTCAAGATACAGAAGCTACCCTTCCTTGCAATGATATAAGTAGTGTGTATGAAAATGAATACGTTAAATTGTAACTATGGCTAGTGACAAATAGGAGTAATTTTCTTCTTTACCCTCTCCCGAGTGCATAAAGAAGTTTGGTTAAATTGGTTTTAATTTATTAAACCCCAATTTGAACTCATCAAAGATGATTTCTCTATCCATTTGCATCGCCTAATAGTTTTCTTTTGCTTCATAATTTGATGTGATCTTTCTAGTTGTTCATATAATAGTTCTCCCAAGTCATTATGGGTTCACAATAAATTTTAACATATAAGTTGGCCAGAATGATAAGTAAATGAAATGCAAAAGGAAAACCATCACATTAAAGAGTAAAAATCCATTTTAAAAGCATTTTAATATCCCTACACAACCTACTTATTCATCACAACGGGAAAGGTAAGAAAAAAAAAACTACTCACAAAGCCTGGAAAAATTACCACAAAACCTCTTTAAAACAAGACAAATCCACTAGAATTTTGTTTATAAAAAAAATACAATACAAAAGAGTACATAATACTTAGCTTTTTCCTTTCACAAAGTGCTGGAAATTCCTCCTCGAATGAACTCTCAATCCTTGCTACTTTGTTGAATATGCTCTACAATTTTCCCTCAAATTTGTCACCAAACTTTCAATAAAATGCAAACTATCTTCCCCTACAACAAAAATTTGACTCTAGTCTTTTCATGGACTTCCCAAGTGTTCAAAAGTACTCCTCATACTCCAAGTAACCTCCTATAATGTCTCCATAACTCCCCAAGTCGTGGAAGAAAAACTGCAGAAAATTGCCCAGTAGTTACTGGCGTCTTGGCGCCAATGGACTGATGCCTAGGCACCTATCTATCTGGTCGGGTAAGCATTGACACTTAGATTCCCAAGTAGATGGCGCCAAGGCGCATGGTAAGAGCACTTTGGCACCAAATGGTTGACACCTAGGCACCAATCACTCGAGTTCAAAATGCTCCATATCAGCTCCACTTCGCTCCATTTCTTCTCCACTTTGTTCCACTTCTACTACTTGTTGTACCTGCAAGAAAAAAAAATACCTTTCTTTAAATTGAAATTTCATCCATAAAAATGTACAAAATAAAAATGAAATTAAGCATGCTTTTGTGCACATCAAAATCCCCCAAACTTAAACGTATTTGTCCTCAAGTAACACTAGAATTTTAAAATCAAATATATTAATTTAAGGAAGTGGTTCTAATTAAAATTATCAACATTTTTTCCTCAAGAGAACTTATAGTATAAATTTAAATTTACTCTAGCAAATAAGTCCTATCCTAAGGTAAAACTAAACTTTTCATTTAACTATGAAAACTTGATTTTCTATTCAATTCACAAAGCAGTTAATAAATGTTAACTAAAGTAACTTAAATTTTAGAAAAAGAAAAGAATTTAAGCAATTCAATTTAAAAAGAATTACAAATACACTTTTATTACACATAAGCTTAGGAATGTAATAATGCTTCAACTTTAAAAAGAATCTTATGAAACCAATATTTGATTAGGCTCCTCCTCAAGATTCTCCTCACTCAATACTTTTCTTTTAATCATTTTTTTTTCTTTCTTTAGGATGTATATGTCAATCCTTAGCACTATTTTTAAGAGAATTACTATATCTAGATAGACTTTTAATAATTTTGAATTTCGCTATCAACTTCCTAAAGTGATGCCTATCACATTTCTTTACTTAAATATGTAATAATTAAAATTATGACTTAGATAGATGCTTAATTCTTATGAAGTATATATCTTAGTATACCTAGTTAAACAATTATATAACTCTTTGAAATAATAAATAGTGAAATTATTCTCTACAAGTTAAGCTACAAGTTAACTATAGACAAGCCTAACATTATTTACATAGAATTTAAATTAAAGATATTATATTTTTGTGCTCCAAAAATTGCTACAATTTTCAAATTAACCCCATAGACCTCATATTTTTTTAAAACATAAAAATTTAAAATACAGGTAACTGAGGACAAATA